TCTGAAAAAAAAGACAGTTTTTAGAGAAGAAAAAAATCACCCACTGACTTTCAAAGCTGCTAACGACTTTCTACTTCGAGGATCTTGATAGAAATGTAGTGGAGTGAAAAGTACAATATTTGTCTTTCAAATGTAGTGAAGTTAAAGTCATAAGTTTCCAGAAAAAAATAATACTCAAGTAAAGTACAGCTACTCAAAAAGTGTACTTAAGTACAATACTCAAGTAAATGTACTTAGTTACTGTCCGCCTCTGCGCGTATGTGCTGTTTACCTGGGGATGAGATGGCAGCAGGATGCACTATGAGAACAAGGCAGGCCGGCGGAGGCAGTGTTACGCCTGGTTCACACCGCAAACTTGATCTTCGCATCAGATTCACATCAGAGTAACTACATCGTCACTGCAGCAGCAGACACGCCAGAGTATTCACACTGGAAGCATTTGTACAGCAGCGGCTCCAAAGCTACACATTACTTTACGAAGACAGCTATAAATTTGTTTTTAGAAGTTGGTCAGTTATATACTTGAAAGTTTTAAAGTCTTAAAAGTTTGTTAACATGGGGATTTGCATGTAAAAGGTAAACAACAAAAACAGCTCCGATCATGCCGTTTCAGTCATACTTCCATATAGAACGTGCTGTTTATAAGGTTTTTTTATTGTTACGTCCAGAGCCGTAAGGTCCTGTTGTTGTGCCAAGCTATGCTTTGTTCATCTCTCTCCCTTTCCCCTCCCCCCTTTTGTTTAACAACAAGTTTAAATGGGCAAATCTTCTATACATATTTTTAATTCTTCAATTTCTTTTCTGACATACTCCAATTCTTGTTAAAACTCACTTGACATGCTTATTCTCTGATTTTTAGCACTTTTGTGTGAAATCCAGAAATGCTCCTGCTTGACGCTCACGTGCTGCTCCTGCTCCCGGTGTGAAAGCACTCATTTGTTAACATGCATGCTAAAAAAATGTGCGCTGCTCATGCGGTGCTCCAGCTTGCGGTGTGAAACCGGCCTTACGCTCTGGCCAATGTTCTACCGGGAAACCTTGGGCCCTGGTATTCATGTGGATGTTGCTTTGACAAATACCACCTACCTAAAGATTGTTGGTACACCCTTTCTTGGCAATGGTGTTCCCTGATGGCAGTGTTTTTCCAATTCATGCTATCACATGTTCTTTTTAATAAAACCATAATAATAATACTCTAATAAGGTGATCTAAAAGGCTCCTTCCTCTTCTGAAACCACATTGATTTGGTGATCAGACTTCAGACATTGCGTACAAGACATACAAATTGTTAAAGCTATTATATAACAGTACGTTAACACACTCAGTTGCACTGCAGTCAGGTGTGCTGTGTGGATAATGTTTTTACCTCTTCAATAGTCTTCTCTGTGGCAGGGGGAATGACGTTGATATGCTGGCGAGGGATGCTCTCTGGAAATTTCTCCAGAATTTTATTATGAGCATCAGGCGGTGTCTCGTGGTGACCTGCAAAAGAGAAACATTACTGTTGAGCAAAATGTTCATACCTTATTAAATGTGGGGCAACGCAGTACAGCACATGATAAGTGGGTTAAACACTTATGACAATTATACAATAATTAAGAATTTAATATTTTTCTACAACACCACATTTCTTTAAAACATTAAGACACATTGTGACAGTTTGTTTTGGTGTCTTAAAGCTGGGAATCGAGTGGAGACATTTTACAACTGCTATAAAATGTCTCCACTAGTGGGCAGGAGTGGCTCAATTTTGCATGATTTCCACAGTTCTGAGTGCAGGTCCTTCATGAGTGTGCAGTATGCAGCACCTATCAGCAGCAGTGAATTCCTCATGAAGTTGAAGCGGTTTCTCTCTTTCAGTGCTGCACTGAACTTCACTGTGGTACTGGGAGTGATCACACACTCCTGCTCATCTTCCATGCTTGACTCCTGGTTACCGGGGCCCTCCAGCATGGGAAACGTCCTGCCACGAGGCTGAAATATACACATGCGCACACACTTGGTCATGAGCATGCAAGCATTAGAACAGCATTCCATCCTTTCTCAAACAGTACTGGGCCTTTTCAGGCCTAAAAAAAATCTGTATTTAAAAAACAACAAAAAAACAACAACAACAACAACAACAACAAAAACATTCTACTGCAGCACTGTAAATATTAGTCAGATGTGGGATACTCCTACTTTATTTCCAACTTAATTTGCTTATTTCCAACTTCAAAAATACATAAAAACATACATGTTCTTAGAAACGTACTCTTTGTATTCATGTTGGCTTCATATGGTTTTGAACACCTTTTATGCCATTACTAAAGAAAATATTTTAAATATATTATTTTAAGGTAAAAAGCATTAAAAAAAATACAATGAACTGTTATTTTATATTTTAAAAAAAACGTTTGACTATTATTTTGTAATCTTTTTAAGAATAAATTTCTTTTAATCAGAACTTTATAGCCAAAAAATACATATAAAAATGAATTTTAATACACAAAATAAAAACATACTCATAGAAGAGATTGAATTCAAGTCACTGAATGTGTGAACTGCAATTTAATACTGTTACAAACCACGTGACTACTTATCTTCTTACAGGATATTATCAGGTCCCGATGACGCTTGGCATTTTTTTACTCCGTTGAGTTTATACTTCTATACAGTTCTGAGTTTTGGTTTATGGAACGTGCAGGCCACCTTCTAGCGCCTGATGAATCAGGTAGTGGCGGGGCTGGAAGGATTTCGTTTATTTCATTTATTTGTACAGCGCACAACAACAGTGTTGTGCCAGAGTTAACTATAAAGCTAATTTGCATCTGCAGTCCCTGGGCAGGATGTTGTTACAAAATTACAATATTAAGTCACAAACAATACAATACATACAACACATACAATATCACATCATACTCCATTAAATTACAAAGTCAAGTCAATGATCACATATTTGATTTTCCTTAAACTACTAAACTAAACTACTTTAAGCGTAGTTTTAAAAATACTAAATGTTGTGCATTCTCTAATATAAGCAGGTATTAAATTCCATCTTTCTGCTGCTCTAACTGAAAAAGCTGATTTTCCAAAAACAGTTTTCTTAAATTTAGTTGAACAGTCACCTCTAACTGATGACGTAGTCTGCCTGATATTGTCCTTACAGAAAGTCACATTGTTTAAGAGGTGGTGGTGCAAGATCATGAAATAGTTTGTGCATGCGCTCGATGATGTGATTAATTATAGTGAGATTTGGAAAGGACATTTATGTCATATACGTGCTCTTCTCACATGTTTGGTAGAGGTGAATCTGGCTAACTGGGAGTTTGCCAGAGCCACTGTAACTTATTTGGGGAAGGTGATTGGGCAGGGCTAGGTGCGTCCGATATGTGCAACGGTTGAAGCCATTGATAACTTTCCACCTCCGACTACAATTTCCACTAGACAATCATGTCATCATCCAGCTTAATTCAGCTCATATTTTCTTCTCATCAAGTGACTTGACCTTGCCTGAGGTACTGACCACGGTGCTTGTATCCCAAACCCTGAGGTTATGAGTGTGACTTCAGAACATACCACAGTTAATCTAACCACATAGTTCCATAAAAGTATAAGGAAACATATGTGACCCTGGACCACAAAACCAGTCTTAAGTCGCTGGGGTATATTTGTAGCAATAGTCAAAAATACATTGTATGGGTCAAAATTATTGATTTTTCTTTTATGCCAAAAATCATTAGGATGTTAAGTAAAGATCATGTTCCATGAAGATATTTTGTAAATTTCCTACCATAAATATATCAAAACTTAATTTTTGATTAGTAATATGCATTGAACTTCATTTGGACAACTTTAAAGGCGATTTTCTCAATATTTTTATTGTTTTATTTTTCCAGATTTTCAAATAGTTGTATCTCTGCCAAATATTGTCCTATCCTAACAAACCATACACCAATAGAACGCTTATTTATTCAGCTTTCAGATGATGTATAAATCTCAATTTCGAAAAATGTACCCTTATGACTGGTTTTGTGGTCCAGGGTCACATATTTTAAGGTTTTTAACATCACTCACCACAACAGTAACTCCATCATGCACCAGGGAGGAAGACGCATACAGGCCAGAGGAGTGTTTCCCTACATACAATGTGGACCTGTCAGAAAACCAGCAAGAAATAGCAAATTATTCATATTTGGTTTTCTAAAGTCACATACTTTGACTGATAACATCTTGCCAAGGAACTGCTAAGTTTTATACAATGGCTAATCTTTATTCATCCAGGCAATAATACTGCATACTGAAAGTCTTTTGGATGATGACAACAACACTCCCACAAAGAGATCTATAGTAATAATGTGTGGAGTTTGATCTTACCCCAGTTACTGAAATATATAAAGTGCTCTGCTCTAAACATTGTACTACAGAGAGTTTCTGCTCAAAGCTAGGGTTGGCTGCATACCATTTTTTTTGTCTGGTATAAATACTGATACTGCAACCTTGAGATACTAATGCCAATCCAATACCAGTAGCTTCACATTTCTTTTAAACTCTCCAGAATGTCTTGCCCCATACACTTTCATTTTAAGTGCAGGACTGTACGCACAATTTTTGCTTTTGCAAACTGAGGAATGAGTCAGAATTATTTTCTGTAGTTGAATCACATAAGCTGCACATAGAGCTGATCTTGAATTTAACTTAGAAAATGAACAAAAGTCACAGCAAACATCGCTCTATAATGAAAAGTTGAGAGGAAAGGTATGCTAGAGCAGTGTTTCCCAACCTTTTTTTAGTCGCGGCACCCTTTGGAAATTTGAACAAACTTGTGGCACCCTACAAAATTAATTTTGTCACAATATTTGAATTTCTAACTTCGATATGATAATTTGAAAAGTATAGATATTCGGTACAACAGGGAAGAACTGCAGAATATAATGTCATACAAATATTTTTAATATTATTAAAACATTTTGTCCATCAATGGTGGCAATCAGTAGGCTAATTTCTAATGAAGAGACCAATTTATATGACAGATTTTAATGTAGGCTTTTATACATATGTAAACATTATTTAATTACCATTATAACTAGCTATCTCACAAATTTTTGCTCACTCAGTGTTTTTTTTATTTTACAGTGGGGTAATTTTGGTGCAGTAGCACGAGATAGCTTGATTTCAAACTTTGAATTGAATAAAAAATGACAAGTAAGCAGTCAGTAATAAAATAAGAACAAATAAAGAAATTAATAATGATAGCACAAATAAAAAATAACGACAGGACTTCGAATTAAATAAATTGCTTTTTAGTTTTTCAGGTAGGTCTAACAGTAGGGGTAAGATATTTAAAAATATATATATTTTTTTTTACCAATTATCCAAATAATGTTTAGTCCTAGAAAGCTATTATTATCAGAACACGCGAGCATAACATAGCGGTTAGCAGATCAATGAATGAGTGGCACCCCGGTTGGGAAACACTGCGCTAGAGTATTGAATCTCTTCAACAGATTACTCAGCCATTTTCAGCAGGGTTTTAAAATTCTATTAATTGTGTGTCTGAATGATGAGTTCCATGCAGTCAGACCTGAGTATCGGTATCTCATCTGCAATTCTACTCAAAGCATTTAAGTGTTGAATCTGTACTGAAAATGCAGGCTTCGCATCTTTGAATTTCTAGAATCAGTTCTTTCCCACACTTCATGAACACAGACAGGATGTGGCTTAGATATTGGAGATGCAACATGCAGGATCAATTATGTATGCAGGGTCCAAAATTAGAGCTTGCTAAGTGCCAAGTGTAAAATGTGGCTTCACCATGTAAATATAAGAGAAAATCAAGAGGTGGCATTCCAGCAAGAAACTGGCTAGCATGTGATGCTGGAAGTGACATGATGACCAACACTGTTAATAAGAATAATAATATTTTTAGGGAAACAAAACAACCTGTAAAAATTGCAGTCATTTTTCTCAATTTACTGACAAAACACACACACACACACACACACACACACACACAATCAGTACTTTGTCTTGTTAGAAGGGCTCCTTACATCAGTTTATCTTTGGTTTTCTTCTCCCGACCAGCAAGAAGCTAGCATGTGATGCTGGAAGTGACATGATGACCAACACTGTTAATAAGAATAATAATATTTTTAGGGAAACAAAACAACCTGTAAAAATTGCAGTCATTTTTCTCAATTTACTGACAAAACACACACACACACACACACACACACACACACACAATCAGTACTTTGTCTTGTTAGAAGGGCTCCTTACATCAGTTTATCTTTGGTTTTCTTCTCCCGAGGAAATGGATACTTCCACTGTGTAATGCGGCCCACCTCTCCTGACATGAAAGTGATATAACGCAACGTTTCCACAGCAACATTGGTGTGAGGGACTTTGCGCAGTCCCTCGCGCTGCCAGATGTAGATCGCCACCACAGGGGAGTTGTAGTTCTGAACCCACTGCACGTCTCCGGACTCACTGTTCACTGTCACCACTAGGCCGTCACCGTTGGACACAAAGTGGGCCATATCTGTCAAACACAGGAAACAATGTTATGTGCTACGAAAGAGGATTGAAAGGGTTTTCAAATTGATAAAGATCAATGCAGCTGATGCCTCACTGTGTTTGGTGTCGTCGTCTGGAAGGGTGAAAGCGTAGTCAGAATAAGTAGCGTTCCAGCGCAGCTCTCTGCTCTTGGTGTCATACATAGTGATTGTGTATTCTGAGGAACAACACACGATTCAACAGATCAGCAAAGTGTAATACTCATACTTAGTAAGATCAACAAAGGATATCTTTGATATTCAGATCATACGGGAGTCGTTTTGAGTCTTTGCATTAGACGTGTATCGACTCCAGCAGATGTGTGTCAGTATTCTGTAATACAGCTTATTGCATGAATTAATATGCACAATATTGTTACTGTGAGCCGTTAATAATTCTAGATAACATATTAGCAGCACAATTGTTTACATTTCTCTAAACTCACTGTAGCTAATTTCCACCAACAAGTCAAAATGTAGAATGTAGTAATGCAACCCTTGCTAATGGGCTGTTTAACACTCCCCAGCTGACTGAGTGCAAAAAACTACGATAAGATGCATAAGATGAGAATTCTTAAGACTACAGGGGTAAAAAAAATGTATCTTATAATGAATGTGCACTACAGAATTTAATATATGTGCATTACAGAATTTAATATATAATGAATAATAATAATAATCCCCAGTGTGTTACAGAGGCGGTCTCAGGTTACAGGTTGTTGCCACAGAGCATGTGAAACTAAGGAAACAAAAGCACAAGTTTGTGCCAAGTTCAAATTTCCGCATTATTATACATAAATGTGTGTGTCAGTTTTTAATAACGTTTATTTTTGTTTTTGTACTCATGCAATTGTGATATACAGGTGCATCTCAATAAATTAGAATGTCGTGGAAAAGTTCATTTATTTCAGTAATTCAACTCAAATTGTGAAACTTGTGTATTAAATAAATTCAATGCACACAGACTGAAGTAGTTTAAGTCTTTGGTTCTTTTAATTGTGATGCATATGAATATTTGGAGAATTAGTATGAACATGCCATTGCTTGTATTATGCAAGACATAACAAAAGGGTGCAGCAATATTACAGTAACAAAGTTCTCTGGTATCTTTTTTCAATCCAATCAATTTTGCGATCTTGAAATGGGCCAGTTGCTTTTGTATGAAACAAAAAAATAAAGTGTGGCCGTGGACAACATTGAATATATCTGACTACTAAATGTTGCAATTGATCAGAATCACACATTTTAGACAGCCATGTAAAAAAACGTCAAAGTCATCTTAATTATCCAAATTAATTTAAAGATTACTCCCCTATTCATAACAGTCTTCATTTATATTTTACCAATAAACATTCTATCACATGAAATGCAATACTTTGCATATTCAGCAGTCTATAAATCATAATTTTTTTGTAGACTGATTTAAATGTTCATTAAGCACAACAATGAAATGTGTCTATGTTTCAATGCTTTTCAATACCGTGATAATACAGAATATCCTGATAAAAGTTTTATCAATTATCATGATTTGTAAAAAATTGATACCGTCTCATGCCTACTCTCCAGTAACAGTATTACAGCATTCAGAATTTTGATAAGCGCTACTACTCCTAAAGTGATCTTTGGTTGCTCATACAGACACAAACAGAGATGGTCTCATCTAAAGTCAGAACTTGGGACAGGTCTTGGCCCTTACCAGTGCGGCCGAGGTAGAGCAGAGATGAAGATGGACATAACATCTCAGCATAGGATGAGGTCAGTGTCTGCTGCTTCTCACCAGTCAGCAGATCCACAACATACCACACGTCTTGCTTCTTACCTACAAACAAACATAATCAAAACCTTCATGTACTCAAGCACAGGCCAGCATACAATGAAAGTGCAATTCGCATTCAATTCAAAGTTTAATTCAGAATCAGCTCTTTGAGCAGCATCTGCGATTCTACTACAGAAAATAATCCTGACTCATTTCTCAGTTTGCAAAAACACTGCACTTTAAAGGGAAGAGTACGTGACAAGACATTCTGAATAGTTTAAAGGAAATGTGAAGCTTGTACGTTTGTTAAAGCATTCATAGCACTTTACATGTCTTTGTATCACACAAGTCTCATGTTTACATATACAATACCTGTAATAATTTATATGTAAATGCTTATCTTTTGTGGTAATCAACAGCATATCACAAAGGCTGATCATAAAACAAAGAATGGAGCTGATTAACTGGAGGGGAAGGGGTGGAAAAAAATAGAGGGTTTGGTGACATCAGCTAGTTCAAAGTTAATTTTTCTATTTGGAAAACTTGCACCAATGAACTGTATACAATAATGGCAAGAAAAAATATAACACTAATGAACAAGAATTATTTCATAAGATGCAAAGATAGAACATTTACATATTCAGTGCAGGGTTTTTCCCAACCCAAGTGCTTCTTGTTTTCACATTTCAATTATCATTTTAAAGACCAAAAGTTCACAGACAACTGATGCAGCATGGGTAAATGTTCTCTCCAGGATGTGTAAACAGACATCAACACTTCAGTTCAAACACACCACATGTTTACGCTCGGAAACAAGTGTGGCTTCGAGTGAAAAGAGGTTATTTCCTGTGGGTTACACTGTGATATTCAACATATGAGATTCAATGCAGAGAGGAACTTAAAAACTGATGTTTAAACAGTTGATAGGTCTCATTTAAAGAGATTAAGTAACGGGATTTTTCATTGTTTAACTTTCAGGCCTGTCTGCAGTCTGATTTAATCAGTGTTTGACCTTCTTCCTTTGGGTGTCATTATAGATGTAGCTGTGCCTTGTGATTTGCACATTTAAGAGTTTAGAAAGGGTGGTACAGACAGACATCTTCTTGTGGTGTTTGCGGTGAGATCATGAAACAATCCCACAGTGCCCACCCACCCACGCACAGGGAGACCGCTAGGAACTGGCCAGTTCCTCAAACATCAACCTCTGCTGACAGTCTAATCATGTTGAAAATTAATGTTTTTTATTTATGGTTATGGGTTTGTTCAAATCTCTACCTTAACAACAAGCCATAGATTGCCAATGATGCTTGGATGAACGGAATTTGAGAATGAGGGTCAAATTAATAATTACAAAAGAATGAATGAGAAAGAAAGAGTCTCTCACCCGTGTATAAGATGCCATCAGAACTGCGACAGGGAGATGCCTGGACCAGCTCAGGAATGGTGAACGGCAGTTTCTGCAACATCCCCAAATATTAAATATAATATTTGTTACTCCATCCAAAATTACACATAGCAACTTTTGGTAACACTTTAGAATAGGGAACACTTATTCACTATTAACTACGACTTTTCCCTCAATAAATTCCTAATTTGCTGCTTATTAATAGTTAGTAAGGTACTTGTTAAGTTTAGGTATTGGGTAGGATTAGGGATGTAGAATAAGGTCATTCAGAATAAGGCATTAATATGTGCTTAATTAGTACTAATAAATGGCTAAAATTCTAGTAATATGCATGCTAATAAGCAACTAGTTAAGAGACCCTAACATAAAGTGTTACCCAACCTTTTTCTTTTGCTTCAAAATGATATTTCTATTTTTTAAAGCTATCACTACTAAAAATAACACCCTTAGATTCCAGAGAATGAGGAAGTCCTTCATTAAAAATGAAATGAAGTTATCTCTCACCGTCAAACCCTCATTATTTTTCCCTCCGAGAGAGTACAAACTGCCATCATTGGGGTCTGGGAGAAATGCAGGCCTGTAAAAATAAGAATTAAATTTGTTCAGGATTGTCATGTTGTATGACTGATGTACCTGCATTTTGTTTTTTGTTTTTCTGACAGAAAACAAAAGAACAGCTAATATATTTGTGACAAAAGTGGTCACTATGAACTATGAAGCAAACAAAAACAGCAGCACACAGATTTTTTGATTTTTTATCCTGCTGGGTGTTTTTATCTGTGGCTTTAGTTAGATGGTGTCATGAATAGGAAGAATCGTGCTAGCTCAGCATCTTGCACAGTTCCTGTTGTTTCACTTGTCATGCACAAATGCTCAAGTATAAATAAAAGAAGGCTTACTCGGACACATGCGTTGGGACTTGCAAAACAGGATCTGCATTGGAAATGAAAAACGTGTCAGTTAAGAGTTATAAACTTTGTCACAGGCAAATGAAGGGATGAGCAAACATGAAGACAATATAAAGCAAAGAAAGTGTTGGGCGTAAAACTTGGATGTAAACTTAATGGAGATTAATATCTTTGCGTAAATGAATCCATTAGTTCTTAGTACTACTTCCAGTATCTGCTCTATTAGACCTAGATCATTAAACCTATGAAGTAACAAATAGAAGTATGAGAGTTATGCCTGATCACCTGTGTGAACATAGTTCTGCTTCAGGGAGGCATGCGGACTGCAGATGTGGCCAGAGCAATAAACTGCAATGTAAGACGCCTAAGACGGTGTTACAGGGAAACAGGAAGGACAGCCATGTGTCCCCCCAAACTAATGCCTTGCTAATGCATTGGTGGAAGAGTGGAGCAACATCTCACAGGAAGAACTGGCAAATCTGGTGCAGTCCATGAGGATGAGATGCTCTAGTACTTACAGCAGCTGGTTACCACACCAAATATGGACTGCGACTGTTAGTATTAAAAGTAGGGATGCATGATATATCGGCCACCATATCGGTATCGGCCGATAAATGCTAGTTTTTTCTGTTATCGGTATCGGCCCGATAAGAAAATTTGGCCGATATCTTAAAGCCGATAAATAATGCATTATTTCCTTCAGAGACACTTCAGATGCGCGCTGTTCGTTTGCAGCCTTTTGTGCAATTGTACGTTGTAATATTGTGTTTATTTGATGTATATCTGATTTATCTCATATAGAATGCGTTTGGTTAACTTGTGAATTCTTTGGGTTTAGTTGCCATGTTTCAGCGCGTTGTTATGGGAAGAACGCATCCACAACAGGATCACACATTCTGACTATAGCACGCAATAACTGCGTCATTTTGTACATATATAAGTTGTAATATTATGTTTATGTTGTATTAATATTAATCTCAGGATGCATTTCCTTGAGTTAAATAAGCTGCCAGCAAAACGCTTCAGTTTACCGTGTTCATTCAGCTCTTCAGCTTCAGCACGCGCAGCTCAAACGGCTGCTATTTAAAACAGTGGTATTAATTTGTTACTTTTTCAAAATCATTGATATTCAGTTTACTGTGTTCATTCAGCTCTTCAGCTTCAGCACGCGCAGCTCAAACGGCTGCTATTTAAAACAGTGGTATTAATTTGTTACTTTTTCAAAATCATTGATACATTATTAATAATAATAACAACCACGTTTATTTTCATTAAAATTATTTTCATCAACAATATGGTTTAGTAATTAAAATCATTAAATTATTGTCCGTGCAGAGGCTATTCCGTTTTATTGATCTATGGCGCATTCATTTTGATTCTTTACACGTGTAATGATGTCCAGTGACTTGTTTGCATTATTTTATTTATTTGTAAGACTTTTTTATGACTAAATTTTGACTAAGGAGAGTAAAATTATTTTTAAAACGTACACCGTTCAAACTAGGCTGCTTATGTTGAAGTGTTTGGGATGTGGCTTTTAATGATGAGACCTTTTTTGTAATCAGGCTCTAAAAAAGTATATAAAAATTTGGATATAGATCGGCCAACATATCGGTTATCGGCTTTCAAAAATAAAGAATTATCGTATCGGCCAAAATTTTCATATCGGTGCATCCCTAATTAAAACCCAAGTAATTCAGATTTACCATCCATGGCAATTGATCGAGCCTGACGAGAATGACAACACACTTAACACAGACTGCACAACGCAAATCGCTGTGGGTGTGTAGTGCAACAGCCTCTAACGTCTGCCGCAGTCCTGTAGCTCCAGCGTGAATGACTGGCTCAGCCTGTACATCAGGTTTCTAAGAGACACAGCAGGTGAATGAAACGCAACTTGCTGTGGCCGTGTGAATATTGAAAAGTAAAGTCAATGTGTGGCTAGTGTGACAACGATGGAAGATTCCATTCAATGCATGTTAATACAGCAGAAGTGGAGGGTGCATTAAAATGTATTAAATGGAACCATCACTCATTCATGTGATGTTCTGGGAGAAAGCTTGAGAGGAAATGAGACGTGCCTGGCCTTGATGACGCACTGTTTGCATGTCAATATGTTAATGTTTTTAATATTACCCAATACCCACAACAGATATGACAGATGTTATGATGAATAACAAATCGAAATCATAACCTTTTCAGTTGGCTAATTAACACAAATGTTTTTTTGTTTTGTTTTTTCAAAAAAAATGGAGAGCTCTAGCTCTAAATTCCAATTGGATAAAAAATAGCCAGCATAAACACAACTGTGACTGAACATCAGTTGAATTCTATATTAATGCACTAATAATTTTTTAATAGAATTTAAATCAACATCAACATTTTTGGATAAAATGTGGGAAAGTGAATTTCTAAATACCTTCTTACATTCACTAGTTCGTTTAAAATGTTTCTCTGGCGTGACAGAATACTTTTTTAGTACAAATACATGTAGGCCTAGTCTTTAAATTAGTAAAAAAGAATTTGGAAAAAAAAATGTTGTGTAAGATAGAAATCAGAATTAAATTTTTGGGTGAACTATCCATTTACTAAAGCTCATGCTGTTCATGCTTTATACGATAAACGGATTTAATTTAGGCTTTTATTCACATATAAACACTGTTCAGCATACACAGAGCTCATCAAATATGGTAAAAACAGACGCTTTACCATGCTTGCCTGATGTGTGAGAATAAAACTAACTGGTTCCCATGCATCAAGTAAGCACGTATTTGATAAGTTCTTATGTATGTGTGTTGATCAATGTTTATATATGAACAAAACCCTAAATTAAACATGTTCATCAAATGAAGTGATCGTGTCTCTTCAGAAGTCTTAGATTAAACTGATCGATCAATAAGAATTACTTTTACGAGGTGTTACTTTTTACTTTTAATTACTTTTTGATATGTTAAAGTTATTTACCATACTAATATTGTAGGAGGACATAATGTAAAGGCAACTACAGATAGCCTATTCTTTGTTTCTAGTTCAAAAAAAAAAATTCCATATTTATATGTGTGTGTGTTTGTACTGTCATTATACTTGACAGAAAATAGGCATTTTATTTGTTTGTTTGTCAGTTGTTTACGTGTTTTACAGTTTTCATACTCTACACTTTGCCCATCCTGTTTTATGTAGGCCCACCCGCTTAAACATTTTTGGCTTCGCCCCTGGTTCAAGGATCCAGTAAGCAAATGGATTCAAACAATCAGTCCAAAACTATGCACTGCACTAATGCAGAGAAATCCAAGCTGATTACATCAGAGATGGCAGAGAGATAGTGACTCATGTCCAGTTTTCCCCCAATTTATTATTCCAGCGTGTGTTTGGCTTTAAAACACAAATCTCTCATATTCTCTTCTATGATTGTTTCTATGGATCACAAGCCCTCTTACATCACTCTTTCTGAAATACAGACTGAACGACAGATCAAAACATTCCACAGCTGCATGGGGACATGCTACATAAACTACATTTCCCAGCTGGATAACGCAAACCTGTGTCTCTAGTAAAGTTTTGATTGATGACAATTGTAATCATATCAATTGTAAAATAAATAAATAAATAAAAAACCCTCAAACCAGAACATCTATATAGATTTTCAAACTTTTCATGCCACTCAAATCCTGGCCTTAATATTTTTTTTTCTTAGAAGTTTTTCCATACAAAACAATGCTAGACAGTTTTTTCCGTTTGAATCTGAACGTCTCTTTTTCCTGTCCCTGTACTACTAGTAATGTTCAAGTGTCTGCTTTCAAAAGAGACAAGGATTCTGGTCTAGACCAAAGGTTTAAAGATCTGCAGCCATTACATTTTGGATATGTAATTTTTGGCTTGTGGAAGTGAATGTTGCACTACAGAAATATACAATAAGTATTGTTATTATTGAAGAACAAACAGTTCTTGAAATTTATGAAATCACAAAATGAATCTTAGTTAATTCATTTGCTTTATCGCCACTCCAAGTAGCTTTGCCATAATTACAGAAAAAATTACCAGAAGCAATATCTTAGCCTGTATGGGCCTTCGAATATTTTGTCGACTATCAAGGGCCTTTAAGTCAAAAAAGTTGAGAACCACTGATAACAATATTACACACCAGCAAACAATAGTGCTGGTATTCACTTTCACAGGCTGGGCGTCCACTGTTTTCATTCCAGTTTGCACTGTGGTGCGAGTAATTTGATACAAAACTTACTGGTCTCGAAAGAAGCGCATATACGTACCTTCTTTTAAGGTCCATTGGATTGTTCCGGATCTCTTGCTGACCGCGTGAAGGTTTCCGTTGAGTGTGGACACAAAGAGCAGACTCTCTGGTACAGACACCGTACTGCTGCCGCAAAAGCCCTGCAAACACACAGCTTTACTGAGGAGATGCTCTCTATATTGCTCTGGCTCTGATGCAAAATTTTGAGATAAAATATTTTACACACTATTGGAGAATAACTTGCTAGTAATATTTTGAATGTTTACACCGTGCATTATTACTAGTAATAGGGGTGCTCCGATTGATCGGCTACCGATCACTATCGGCCGATAATCATGTTGGGATGTTTGATAGGCGGTCTCTAAAAAAAACGATCTCAAGCTGATGACGCTGCCATGAGAGGTTTGGCACGACATGCAGCGGCACCGCCTCAGTCTGGCGCGGGTGAAATAATTATAATGCTGAAGGTGAGGTACTCACCTTAATATTTCTTCATTAAATAACTTATAAAGTAATTTGAAAACCTTGTGTGAGACGTAATTTCACAAACAGCG